AAGAACCCATTTAATGGTGAATATAAATAACAATTAAAATGTTTCTTTTCCTATATGAAGTTTTTATCAAGTATTTTTAATTGATAAAAATTTAAAATTATCATTTATTTCATATGTTAAATTTTCATATAAAATTCATATTTGAAAGGTAAAAAGTCAAACTAAAACTACTAAAAATAAACGGTGGAGCTTATTGAAATGGTTTAACAAGACCTGCCGATATCTTCATTAAGGGTCAAACTTTATCTGTTTCCATCATAAACATGTAATAGTTTATCTAAGTGTGTTTTTAATGGTACCGCTCTACTCAATTTAAGCTATGGACTCTGCATATGAGTTGAATGGTTAACTAATTTATTATTTTTATGTAAATGATAGGAGGGCTTTTGTGATTATCTTAGAGGAATTGATTGTTCTGATGTTGAAGTCTATGCTAATTCGGAGGGTACAGTTGTTTTCCCTAAGGTACCCCTGGTTAGAGTTGAAGGACCAATTGCAGTGAGTACCATATTACTCGCCTTTCTTTCACATTTTGCTTCATTGTTTTCTAACCACGTTTAAGTTTTTCAGCTATACATTTATTGTGCTTTTTGCTTGAACTGAATCCCAGCTTGGCACGATTTTATTTTGTCATTATTAATTTCATTTGTACTTAATTTGTTATCTAGGTGGTTCAATTGCTGGAAACTCCATTTCTAAATCTTACAAACTATGCATCATTAGTGGCTACAAATGCAGCGGGGCATCGATTTGTTGCTGGGAAATCTAAAATGCTGCTCGAGTTTGGACTTTGACAAGCTCAGGTTGTGAAGTTGCATTTATTCCATTTTTATTTGATGTGCCAATTTATGCTTTCTTTTAATAAGGTATTCCTTTAATTGTATGCAGGGACCTGATGGTGCTTTAGGAGCTTCAAAGTACTGCTATGTGGGAGGATTTGATGCAACAAGGTAATTTCTGCTGAAGATATCTATGGCCTTCTATAAACCATGCGTGTTCTCTGGTCTTAATTGCAACAGGCTAATGTTTGGTTTGGCTTAACCCTTTTATGTTGTCTATTAACAGCAATGTTGCAGCTGGGAGATTATTTGGAATACCTCTTTGTGGGACACATTCTCATGCCTTTGTTAGCTCATTTATGGTCAGTAATTCATTCAAGAAACCAATTTTAAGATATAGTGCATATTAAGGAATATGTTCTCAGTAGGAACAGGCATTGTTGTTTCTACCTGTATGACTATGAATTGAAGATGGCTCTTTGTCATAAGCCAACATTTATTGCTAGTAGCTTGAAACTTTCATTCTCTAATTTTATTGTTTAATTTGCAGAGCCCTGATGAGATCATAGAAAGATCACTTCATAGCTCTGATCCCTCAACTACTTGTAAGGACTTTGTCAGTCTTGTTCAGTCCTGGTTAAGCAAAATCCAGGTTCTGTTTCCTCTTACTTTTCCCTTTTTTCTTTTAAAAAAAAAAATTCCCTTTTTCTTTTTCACTATGGCCTCTTGAAATTCTTCAGCTGCCCTTAAGTTGTCCACTTGTTGCGTGTGCAGTGGTCAAAATCACTAAATGGCAGTTTTGGCGAGACCAATCAAAGTGAGCTTGCAGCTTTTATCTCATATGCCTTGGCATTTCCTAATAACTTTCTTGCTCTTGTAGACACCTATGATGTGAGTATGGTTTTCATGAATTTTACCTTGAAATGGTCCACTACATAGTCGTGTTATGTTTTATCATCCAGTAGTGCTTGCATTAACAATACAGTCTGGACTTTAACCTTACTAGGTCATGAGGAGTGGGATCCCTAACTTTTGTGCCGTAGCCCCATAGCTCTAGCACTCAGTGGCTTGGGGTATGTTAAAATATTTATAAATGCTTTTTTGGAAATTAGTTCCTTTTTGTGTAAAAGGAGCTAACAATTTTTTTTGGTTTTCATTTGTAACTTCCTCTGTTGCTCCTGCTGAGTGTAGTAATCTTTTAGACCATTATTATCTAAACATAAATTCACTTCATGAAATTGTAACAATAGGATGGTTAGGCCTCCTTGCTTGATGGGTAGACATGAAGTGAATTTGATTTGGTCTCTTATCTTAAACTTTTCATATCCATATGGAATATAAATCAATGTCTCTTGTGGAGGAAAGTTACAATAAGCAGATACCTAGAGAACAAGAATTGAATACCCATACTAATTAAAACTTATCTATTCCCTCCTTTAATAGAAGGGTGAGACTTGATGCTGACCCTAGTCTTGCATATTTTGCGCCTTCACATTATTCTGGCATGTATATATTAAATATTCTTATACTCTTCAAGTTCTTCCGTCGTATATACACTTGGTTTAGTTTATATAATTCTTATAGCATCTCAAGACTTGCAAGACTGATGCTTTTGTTGGATCCAAACATTTAGTCAAAATTATATTTTCAGTGCTGAGTTTTACTATGCACCATTCAGGTACAAAGCAGTTGGTATTAGGTTGGACTCAGGAGACCTAGCATATTTGTCTTGTGAGGCTCGGAAGTTCTTCTGTGCAATTGAAAAGGAATTTGGAGTTCCTGGGTTTGGAAAGATGAGTGTTACTGCTAGTACTGATCTGAATGAGGAAACTCTGGATGCATTAAACAAACAGGTATTCTCTCTAAACTGAAGTTCCTTGAATTAGCTTTTATGTAGCCTTTTCCTTGAATACATTGAAGAAGCCCAAAAAACAATGCTGCTAGCAGAAAATAATGAAAGTAAAATTCCAATGCCTTACATGGTATACTTTGCTGCATACCCACTCATGAAACATCTTGTGTGCTTCTTTGCAGGGTCATGACGTAGATTCTTTTGGAATAGGAACCTATTTGGTCAGTTGTTATGCACAAGCTGCTTTAGGATGTGTCTTCAAGCTTGTTGAGGTAAATAATCAACCTCGGATAAAACTTTCAGAAGATGTCTCAAAGGTTTGATTTTGCTGGTTTCTGGCATGCTCTTTTCAAGGTATGGTGTTACCTATATTTTCCTTATTGGATACTAGGTCTCAATACCATGCAAAAAATGGATTTACAGATTGTATGGCAAAGAAGGATATCCCCTGGTGGATATAATGACAGGGGAGAGTGAACCATCTCCAAAGGTATCATTCTCACCTGTGTTTCTCATTAACTTGGTGTATGTGCTCTCCAGCTAGCGGAGACTGTTTTTCTTTTCATTTCAGTTTGTATGCACGCTTTGTAGTTAAGAGCTTAAGGCTTCATTAGGGAGTGTTGTGCTGTACCTATAGCTGTGGTTTTTGTGTTTTACTATCTCAAAAATATACAAAATATTAATTAAAATTAGTAAAAATGTAAAAAAATAAATTAAAATCAATTATTAATAATAATTTACATTTTTAGATAATGTGTTAAATGAAAAAGATCTTTTGTAAAGCATTGTCAAATGAAGCCTAAATCCCGTTAGCATTTTTCTGTTATTGAAGTGCCCCCTCCTTTTGCAGCACCCTTGTGATATTGAGTGTTGAGTTCATATGACTGCTAAAATTGAGGATCTATGATCTCATTTTAACTCTGTTTTCAAACTTTTGAGGTAGGAGAACGAATTCTATGTCGCCACCCTTTTAATGAATCTAAAAGAGCATATGTGGTGCCGCAGCATGTTGAAGAGCTTCTGAAATGTTACTGGCCTGGGAACTCAGGTAAGAACCTGGTAGATAATCAAAGTTGAAAAGCGTATGGCCATCTTCAAATTTTAGCCCTTCCTTTGCTATCTATTAATTTTAATTGATTAGAAATCTTACTCTAGATATCTCCAAAAATTGTAGCACAGTTACATTAACGCCTTTCCATTTGTTTACCTTGTTGTATATGTGGTCTTTCTTATTTTCTTTTTTTTTTTTAGGCTAAGTAAGACAAGAGCTACCCCCTCTCAAGGACATTAGAGAGAGTTGCATCAAACAACTAGAGCAAATGAGACCTGATCACATGAGGAGACTAAATCCAACACCTTACAAGGTATTTAGCACCAAACTCACTCAAACATCATCGTCAAGTTTTCTTGTGGCTTGGATGAAAAGTATCTGCTGCTAACCAGGTGAGTGTAATTGCTAAGCTCTATGATTTCATCCATTTCCTGTGGCTCAACGAGGCACCTATTGGAGAGTTGCAATGATGAGGATAGAGTTGAAATCAATTGCCTGGAGCGGCATACAAATTACAGGAATATTGATTCCGACATAGTTGCAGACTTGCAGAAACTTCTTCAGAAGGCCAGCCCAGAATCACGTTCACATGATGTAGTTTTCAATTTGGCAGACATTATTTGTTTTCTTTATGTTTAATAAGACAAATGATTGCCTTCTCTCAAAATTGTTGTTTTATTGAGTTTAAGAAACCATTATATTTTAGTAAAGATGAGAAAGGAGAAAGCATGAGGAATTTGAATTCATGACACTGTTAGCAAACCTTTCTTACTAGACGGCCATTGCAGAGGGGATACATGATTTGAACAAACTGTTCCGTTCTCAGAATCACCAAGCAGTAGCAAGTTGAGACCACGGGTGGTGTGATTACAACTTTCATCATCACACTGAAGGCAGAGTGAGCTCATTAACAGATGAACTGCCACAAAACACAATTTATCTCTAGTGCACGCCTTTCCATGCAATATTCTAATAGAGGTAACTTGCCATCATTATGCCCTTCTCGTACATTGAAACAAATCCATCTGCTTGCCTCTTGACCTGACACACGACTAAATCTTCAGAAGATAAACACAATCTTCAGACTATATCAGACATGAATTCTATTGTAGACGTTTCTTGTGGCTTCCCAGTAGGCTTTATTTATTAATGTTCTGTTATATGAATTTATATTTTGTATTATTGTATAAAAAATATAAAATATTAATTAAAATCAATTATTTATAATAAATTTATACTTTTTAATAAAATACTGTAAAAAAAAAGTATTTATGCAAATTACTTGATTTGATATCATGTCAAAAAGACATTCTTACAACATCACTTTTTTTAGGCATTTTAACCTAGAAATGTTTCAAGTGATGAAATTATAAATGAGAAATCTTGAGGTTTCAAGAGAGATTAATAAAAAAAAAAAAGCTATTTTAATATAGCTTATCATATAATGTAGTAAGATGGAAAAACAATTCTACCCAATCAATCTCCAAATTAATTATATTACTGCAGAGTTTCATTGGAATCAATTCCATTTATGGTGGATGGTTATGATTTCAGACATTGCATATTTGTGTCATACCTAACAGATTTTAGTTCTACTTTCTTCTTTTTCTTTTTTTCTTTTTTTTTTTTCTTTTTTTGGTTATTAACTTCCCTCCTTCTCAGTGATCTTGTTATTGTGTGTGAATCTGATTCTCTCGTCTTCGTTTTAAGTTTCTACCTATTCCTCTGCCAACAAAAATGGCGTCTTTAGCATTGAAATCGACAAAATCCATCACTAATTTTTGCAAGGTATGAGCTTTCTTCAATTTAGCCGCTAAAAACTACCAACACCCCAAAACAGTCCAAGAAAAGCAACTTCTTTTTCTTTACCTCTTTTAACCCTTTCTGATTCCATGGCATAAAGTCCCATTCCCATCATGCCAGCTGCCATTGCTTTATCAACATCCACTCAAGACACTCACTCACTTTACTCTCTCTGTGGGCACCATGCTTTGAGAAAAAAGGTTAGATGCACAGGGTTCTTTCCTGTCCTTTTCCTGCGGAACTGAATTTTATGTAGGATTGAAAATCCAGGTTCATGGCAGACCACTTATCAAAGACAACATCGATTTTTGGTCTCCGTTTATGGATTGTTCTCGGAGTCTGTGCCGGAGCCGTCTTTGTACTTCTTCTCTTTTTCGTTTCTCTCTGGCTTGTCTCCAAGCGCACCAAAGTCAAATCATCTTCAAAACCCAGAATCCCCTGCGTCCCCAAAGAGATTCATGCCCACCGGACACAAGTCCAGGCAGACCCGGACTCTGACCAGGTTACTGGTTTGGAACGGCAGGCTTTGCTTTTGCCTCTGGAGGAGGAGAGCCCATTTGGGTATCATGGAATTCATGTTGAGATTGGGAAGGAGCATAGGATTTCGTATCCCGGATCGTATTTGCATGGAAGTGGAGGTGAGGTGCGGGCCGATCACATTTCCGTGGTTGTTCCTGAGGTTTCGCATTTGGGATGGGGACATTGGTATACTTTAAGGGAGCTTGAGGTTTCGACAAATGGGTTTGCCAACGAGAATGTGGTTGGCAAAGGTGGGTATGGGGTTGTGTACCATGGCGTCTTGGGGGATAATACTCATGTTGCTGTCAAGAACTTGCTCAATAACAGGTACTTCTGAACTCGGGTGTCACTGAAGTGCTGTATATAACCATTGTTCATGGGATGCCTTTTTGGGTTAATTAACTCCATGGAGTTCATGGTAAAACAGTTGTTTGATATGTATTAAACAACTGGATAATCTGCAGGGGACAGGCTGAGCATGAGTTTAAAGTTGAAGTAGAGGCGATTGGGCGGGTTCGGCATAAGAATTTAGTGAGACTGCTGGGTTATTGTGCTGAAGGAGCTCACAGGTAATCTCTTTTTGCCTAATTTCCTTTCAATTCACCTTTTTAATTTAGAGTAGAGATAAGAGTTTATGAGTTAGCTCATTCAAACTTTGGTAATTTAACATCTTGGTTTGACCAAGTTAGTTATTGTTTCCTTATGCTTAGGATGCTGGTTTACGAATATGTAAATAATGGAAACTTGGAACAGTGGCTTCATGGAGATGTAGGGCCTTGTAGTCCACTTACCTGGGAGATTCGGATGAATATAATTCTGGGAACCGCGAAGGGGTATGTTCTAAGCAATAAGATTTTACATTTTATCTTTCTTTATTTTCTTTGTTTTTTTTTTTTTGGTTATATCTTGTGCGCTCCAGCACCTCATTCATAGATTTTTTTTTTTTTTGGCATAATTAGGTTAACTTACCTTCATGAGGGACTTGAACCTAAAGTTATTCACCGTGATATTAAGTCGAGTAACATTCTACTTGACAAGAAGTGGAATCCCAAGGTCTCAGATTTTGGACTTGCCAAGCTCCTGGAATCAGAGAATAGCTACATCACAACCCGCGTCATGGGCACATTTGGGTAAATAGCTCTGTTTTTTGTCTCGATATGCATAGGTATAATGTAGCTTCAGTTAACAATGTTCTTGTACACTTGCAGGGACTAGTTAACAATTAATGTGTCTCTGGTTTTGTAGCTATGTATCACCTGAATATGCTAGCACAGGCATGTTGAATGAAAGAAGTGATGTGTATAGCTTTGGAATTCTTCTTATGGAAATTATTTCTGGGAGGAACCCTGTTGATTATAGCCGGCCTCCAGAAGAGGTTTGCATCGTATAACCAACGTCATTTTTCTGGTGACCTATAAAAATGTTCCTGAAGTTGCCTTCTTTCTTCTTGCTTTTTTAATTTTTGACTAAAAGCTGTGTGTTTTCAGGTGAACTTAGTTGATTGGCTTAAGAAGATGGTTGCTAATGGGAATGCAGAGGGAGTATTGGATCCCAAGTTACCTGAGAAGCCCGCTCTTAAAGCCCTGAAGAGAGTGGTTTTTGTGGCTATACGTTGTGTGGACCCAAATACACAAAGGCGGCCAAAGATGGGTCATATCGTTCATATGCTTGAAGCTGAGGAGTTCCCCTTCAAAGATGTGTGCATATATATCTGCTGACCCATTCAAATTTAAAATATATATTACATTATTAAATTTTTATGTATTACATCACTGTATTTGCTTATTCTGATTATCCAGTTTGAGACTCTCATGTTACTTGTTTCAGGATCGTAAAGCTGGAAGGGAGAGAGGGAATACATGTCAAGACATCAAGACAGTCCAAAGGATGCATCCAATAGAGAAGTGATGGAAGCAGGTGTGTTTTCAATTTCAGTGTCTGGCAACAAGGAATGATGATAACATCAAGGATGTGAAGGGGAAAAGCATTGAAGAGCTATAAAACTTCATTGAGGTGAATTGCACATGCTTTGTCACTCGTTGCTCCATTTAGAAAAAGATCTAAATTAGAGTATCTCAGTCAATGCATTGCCTACAAGGATGAATACGAGCTCTTTTTTTTCTTCTTTTCTTTATTTTTTTTGTTCTGGGAGTGAAATTATAGCCCAAGTTATTTGATCTTTTTCCTTTCCAATAAAAACAAGGTTGTTCCAAGTTCTGGGTTATGATTCGCTGAAAGCAAGATATGAAAATTTACTACATTGTTTATTTCTGTATAGAGGTAATCCAGTGCTTCTTTCTTATCAATGTCTTTTGATTTAACAAGTTTCAATTCAATATTTATTTCTCGGGTTTTGTTCAATTCCATTTCCACCTTAGCTTAACTTTTTTGGGTTGAGATTTGATGTTGTATCTATGGTACTCTACTCTTATACCCTAAAAATATTATGCCAGTCACTGTGGCTAGTATTAGATCGTTACATGATACCAGGGAAGGGTAGGTAGCCTTGCTTTAAACTTTGTTTACCTAGGATCATGTTTGGCTTGTTCTGTTATTGAGCCAAGTCAGTGGTAATTTTGATATGGGTTTATGCATTGTATCTGCTTCTAAAATATCAGTAACCGTACTGCTGGAAACCAGCACAGAAGGAAGAAGGATATAATAATTTCCTAGGCACTCCACATGCATAGAAGGTGGAAATTCCTGTCAATTAGGACACAAACACGATATACAGCCCCACCCCCATGTTCCCTCAGGAATAAGTCCATGGGGTGGGAACAGGGGAATCAAAACAGAAGCTTCCCATTTCTTTCCGATTTCTATCTTTTATTGCCTAGATGGACCACATTTCTAAAGATTGTTCCATGAATTTATCTTTATGCTTTTGCCAGCAGTTTGATTTCCATCACTTCTTTGCTACCAATCCAAAACTTCACAGGAAATAATGAACATGAAGTGAAAGCATCGCTGCATCAAAATTCTCTTTAGAAATGAAAGCAGGGGAACCAAATTCGTCTGAAGATATTTCTTGTGGTTCAAAGAATGCAAACTAGTGTAAAGAGGGAAACTAGAGACTTTAGTGTAACTGCAACAAAAGAGCCATAGCCAAGACTGCCCCCAGCTGCCACCATAGGGACACTGGTCTGCTGTTCCTCAAGGCAAAGCTGCTAGTAATTTGGGACGGAGATTGTGACTGCGTTTGTGTGGCAGATAAAGCCGCAGGTGGAGGTGGAGGAATGGGAGGGACGTTGCAGCTAACAGATGTACCATTTGCCTGTTCACATACATGATACAACTCGTAAGTTCAGCAATGGTTTCAAGCATAGAATTATATCAGCAAATGGAGAAAATTTTGGGAGCAAACCTTGCAATAAGCTATACTCTCACAAGCACAAGTGAGATGACCATTTGCTTCATCTACAGCTTCTGGAGCTCCTCCACCATCACTCATCTGCAGAAAATATAAACAAAGTTTACAGTCCTGCTCGTGTAGCAATAGAGTTCAAGGGCTTATAAACGAGACATCAATCCCATTACCTGGTAAAAATCAACAGCAATGAAGTTTGGCCATCGATTTCCAGATGCTTTATAACAGGTGTTCATCATGCTGATTAGAGGAGCTGAATTGTCTGCACAGGCTTCTGTTCCATTTGGATTAGTAGGAAAGTAGTTCTGAAGAACCAGAGATATATTTTTTGCATTCATAGAAGAAGATTCAGCTCGATTTGGACACGAACCGGCTTTCATCCCATCATCTCCATCTACAATTTTAGCATGCCATACATTTCAGCTTAAATTTGCTACTACATACGTAAAGAAGGGTTGAAGACAGAACTCACATTGGTTTTCTACCACATAACGCCATTGGTAGGCAATCCCTTCAGAAGCCTCCTTAGATGAAATGGAAGTGAAAACAACCAAACGTTGGTTCTGCTTCACCATGTCATCCACCGTTGGCCAATCTTCGCCGTTCTTAGGCATACTTGATACCGGAAACCAGTATTTACTCAAAGCAGAAGCATTGAAAACTTTGGTCAAGCCTTGTGGGGATGTGACATAATCCTCGATAAATATGGTGATGATCTCTGAAGGGTTTGCTTTCATGAACACTTGTATCTCTTTCAGCACGTTAATGGCAGGTTGCTGCAGGTAATTAAAGGTAAATCCGGATCAAATCTAAGCTTTAGAGGACATAATTATGGTAGAATTGTTCAAATTCAAGTGAAAGGAAGAAGTTTTGGCTCGGAACTTACGAATGCTGTGAAATTGTAGCATTTGCCTCCAAAGGAGTGGCATAACCAGATGTCATTGTCGAAGTCATACATGTCCAGCATAAGTCCTCGAACCCCATTCTACTAAATATCAATTTCATCCCGTATACGTAACATATAATCAAGAGTGATGACCAAATATTAATTATAAGAAAATAGAGATTAATGGGAAATAATAATACCACCAATTCGTTTCACTCATCATTGCTTCTTTTAGTACTTTCATGTATGGTATGACTAACAATTTAAATAATTCTTTAATAAAATAAAATTATTCAACAAAAATGATGTATGAAAATATTTTTAAAATAAAAATAAAATAATATAAATATAAATAGACACCATAAAAAACAACATGCAAAAAGTTAAGCCACGAAAGGAGAGTGGATAGGAAGTTTCATATGGTGGGTTCTTGTCAATGCATGAAAGAAGTAAAATGACTAAAGGATGGAATTTTTTTTTTTTCTTAACAAATTGCAATTATTTACATGTGTTAATTGGGAGATAATGAAAGAAATTGCATGAGATTCGAATACGCAATTAGATGAATGACTTTAACTTAGAGTCCATGTTATTAGGTCAAAATAGGCCTTTCGACTAAAAGATGGATTTTTTTTTTTTAACAAATTACAATTATTTACAAGTATTAATTGGGTGATATGAAAAAGAATCTAATAGGGTTTGAACATGCAACTCATAAAAGATGAATGATTCTAACTCAGAATTCATACGATTGGCCAGAGCGGGCCATTTGACTAAAGGATGGACTTTAATTAGCTGGAATGCTTAAACTTTAATAAAAGAACAACAACTAAAGTTCAAGATGCTTAATATTCAATCAAAAGCATGGTATCTGCTCTTTTTGCATCTTGCATTCTCACTTTCCTCATTACTTTTGTGCGCCAACCATGTTATTTATGTCAAAAGACCAAATTACCCTCACAAATACGCTCCAGACTGCACATTTCTCCAAATATGAGTGGACAAGAAACATCATAAAACCGTTGCCTATTTTCAAAAAAAGAATCAGCATAGCAACCCCGTCTTCTCCCTTGACCAACAAAAATAATAGAATAGTCTCTGTAGGACTTAATTGTAAGTTTTTTAAATTATAGGTCTCATGTTAAAATCTTCAGGTCCAATAAAATGATAAAAAAAAAAAAGAATTTGAAATTTTAAGAAATAAAACTTACATTGAGCTGACTGGTGACAGTGTCTTCCTGGTTTGTTGGTGATATAATAGTGGAACCAGTTTCTGATTTTGCACCTGACAGCGCGTAAGAGTTGTGCGTTGTCAGCCATGAGTAGCGGTTAAAAGGAAGGCCTTTCACCTAACCAACAACCAAACCCATAATTATTCAATCCAACAATTGAGCAAACTTCAACTGCACTAATAATTTAAAGCCACAAATTGTCATACCACTGACGTGGGGTTGAGTGGTTGGATCCGG